CCCCCATCTCAGAAGCTACAAATGGGGTCTCTGGGCTACTCACAGTTTTGGTCAACTGGCTACAAATTTAGGGGTTCCTAATACTCACCCAAGTTCAAGAATTTGCTGGAACAATTCGTAGAATTCATAGGACTCAGGAGAGTGCTATACTTGCAATGACAATTTTATTACAGAGAACACAACTTGGGACTAGGCAAATCAATGGGGAGACCCTTGGAAAGGCTCCAAGCACAGAACTTCCATGTCTTCTCCCTGTGGAATTAGGGGTCACCCTCTCAGCACATAAATGTGTTCACCAACAGGAAGCTCCATGAGCTTCTGTGTCTGGAGTTTTTATAGGAGTTTCATCACATAGGTATAATTGATCAAATCATTAGCTATTGACTGAACTCAATCTCCAGCTTCCCTCTGCTCCCCCAAGGTTGAAGTTGGGTAGATATCAAGTAGCTAAAAGACCCAACCCTCTAATCACATGGCAGGTGTTTCTAGTGGCCAGTCCTTCCCCTGAGTTACCTCATCGCATGAGCATGAACTCAGGTGTGGTCTAAGAGCTCAAGAATAACAAAGATACTCCTACCACACAGGAAATTCCAAGCATTTAGAGTCTCCCAGGAACCAGTGCCAATGACCATTCAAAGTCTTTATTGTAGAGCACAACCCTACCCCATCCCCACCCTACCTTACCCCATAATCATCTTTACTCCCACTTCCACTCAACACCCTGCTTTCTCCTCCCCCTGCTCCCCACCCCACTCACCCGACTTCTATCCCTTTTCCCAATCTCACCCCATAGTCCATCCCTGTATCCACCCACACCCTCCCACCTTCTCTCCCCAGCCCTTTTTGTCTTGTTGGCCTTGGCCATTTACACTGGAGTCACAGTCAGCTTCCTGGGCCGCCGCTTTGGGGACTGGCGCTTTTCCTGGTCTTACATCCTGGGCTGGGTAGCCCTGCTTATGACCTTCTTTGCAGGTACTGGGGCTGAGGGAAGTTCAGTGTCCCAGGGCAGGGTAGGCAGCATTTCAAAGGGGAGATCCTATTCGGTGGACCACATGGATCTCACAGCACTGGGGTGGGAGGCAGACCCCAGGCCTGAGGAGGCCTTGTACGTGGCACCTGGGGAGAAAGGGGGTGTGGTGCAGGGGTCTCTTGGTGGGGGAAAGGCTCTGGGGGACCAATTTTGATCTCTTCTCATGCAGGGATTTTCTACATGTGTAGCTACCGGATGCATGAATGCCGGCGCCTGTCTACTCCTCGCTGAGCCCTGATTAATCCCCCAACTTCATCTGGAAGTTAAAATGAGGTCACCGGAGAGGAGGGGGAGGGTCTAAAGGCCTGAAATCCTGGTTTCTGGGGGCATGAGGGGGCTCAGTCCTGGACACTAGGTGGGGCCCCTGACTCCTGTGTCCTAAGCAGGAAGGAAGAAGAATGAGGCCTGGCAGGAGGGAGTTGAGGAGACCCTAAGTCTCCATCTACCAGGCAAGTTGTTAGAAAAATGAAATACCCATTAGAGCAATGTTTTGGGGTCAAATAAAACTGATGTGAAACTACTAAAGGATGAATCTTTGAGGGATTGGGGTGAGGAGGGAGAGGTGTGAGTATGGGGGGTGGTGCCATATTTTGGAGGCCCGACCTTTCTAGTTCCAGGAGGGATGAGAACAGGAATCATTAATAATCACAGAGCCCCTATGCAGGAGTTAACCAAAGTTCACCTTCCAGGAGACTGATGCCTAGGATCACAAGATAAATGAAAAGATCTCTGAAAAAAAGAAGTCCTACCCCACCCCCCACCATCTCCACTTGGCTCTCCTTAACCTCCTCTCCCCTCCCAGAATGGGCCCCTCCAGCTAGAAGCCCCAGAGCTCCAGCCTTTACTTCCTGCACCTGCCGTTTCATGCACCACTCATGACCATGACCTTCTCTTCATTCATTCATTAATAGGGCATTCAATATACTGATGCAGCTGCTGAGATTTACTAATGTCTATCAAAATAAGACTTTTTGCAAAGTTAGTTATAATGATAAGGATATTTATTACAGCTTATGCTAGTAACTTATGTTAATAGAGGCTTATTCTCTAAAATACTATCTATTGGAGTCTCCTCAAACAACAATAATACTATCATTATTATTGAGGTTTTCTCTAATAATAAATAATAGAGACTTTCTCTGATTGTAATGGCAATTGGAGCCTTCCCTAATAATTTATTGAGGGCTATTTATTTAATTATTATTTTTTTCTCTTTTGAGACACAGTCTTACTATGTCGCCCTTGGTAGAGTGCTGTGGCATCACAGCAACTTCAAACTCTTATCTTAAGCCGTTCTCTTGCCTCAGCCTCCCAAGTAGCTGGGACTACAGGCGCCTGCCACAATGCCCGGCTATTTTTTGGTTGCAGTTGTCATTGTTGTTTAGCAGGCCCAGGCCAGCCTCGACCCTGCCACCTTCAGTGTATGTGGCTGGCACCCTACTCACTGAGCCATGGGCGCCGAGCCCTTTACAACAGCTAATTGCAGTAATCATACTTCCAAGTGCTCACTGTAGCCATAATAATATTATAATTACAACTCCAGACTCACAACCTCAACTTACTCGACATCTCCACCTGAAAATAAGAGGAATCTCAAATTTCAAGTCTTAACATAAGTTTTCTATGTCTCTTGCACACACACCCAAGTGCTGTTCTCACGGTCTGTCCCAACTTAGAAAATGACACCTCCATTTTTATCCAGCCACTGAAGCCAATAACTCTAGAATCATCCTCAGCTTATTTCCCTTACATCTAACATCTGATCTATCCGCAAATAGTGTTGGCACTACTTTAAGATGTATCCAGAATTTGATGATTCCTTGTTCATCCACAGTCATTGCTCACATGACTTGGTGAGCAGCCTTCTAAGTAGCCTCCCTGCTTCCCTAGCACCCTGCAGTATGTACCCGAGGGAGTTTTGTTAAAACATAATTCAAATCATCTCACTCCTCTGCTCTAAGCCTCTAGTGCAGTGGTTCTCAACCCATGGGTCATGACCCACAGGAACCGTATTCAAGGGTCATGGCATTAGGAAGGCTGAGAACCACTGTTCTAGTGGCTCCCCTGTGTGCATGGTGCATGGGTGTGGCTACTGATCTGGGGAGACAAGAAGCAGGTTTCAGGCTTGGACCTGGACATGGAGGGGAGATGAAAATGGGCAGGCTAGGTAGGAATTATGGGGTTTGTGGAAAAGAAAGCAGGACTGGGGTTGGAGTCAGATCTAGGATGGGAATGAAGATAGGGTTCAATTTCAGAATGAGGATGGGTGGGGTTTGGACTGGGAGGTGAGATCAAGAATAGGGAGGGGTTGGGTTTGGGAATAAGAATGGGATTAGATTTTGAATGGAGATGGGTTTATATTTATATTAGAGCTAGGGTTAAGGATAGTTTGGGAATGATAATGAAGTCATTAAGTTTGGGAATGACAATGGGGTTGGATTTGAGTTTGTATTTTGGGGTTGGGTGTGGGAATGAGAAAAGAACCAGATTTGAGGATGGGCATGGGGTTAAATTCAGAGTTGGAGCTAGAAACTGGGGCTTGGTATGGAAATGAGACTAGGGTAAGTCTGGGGGATGGGAATGGTTTGAATTTGTGGTTAGAACTGGGCTTGAGATTGGGTTTGGAGACAAAGTTGGGTTTGGGGTTAGAGCTGGGATTAAGAATGGGCTCGAGGCTCAGCTCCTGTTGCTCAAGTGGCTAAGGCATCAGCCACATAAACCTGAGCTGGCGGGTTCGAATCCAGCCCAGGCCCACCAAACAACAGTGACAGCTGCAACCAAAAAATAGCCAGGCGTTGTGATGGGCGCCTGTAGTCCCAGCTACTTGGGAAGCAGAGGCAGGAGACTCTCTTGAGCCCAGCAGTTGGAGGTTGCTGTGAGCTGTGACACCACAGCACTCTACCCAGGGTGACAGCTTGAGGCTCTGTCTCAAGAAAAAAAAAAAATGAGGTCAAGAAGTCTGGCACAGTAGCTCATGCCTATAATCCCAGCGCTCTGGGAGGCTGAGGTGGGTGGTTCACCTGAGCTTATAAATTCTAGACCAGCCTGAGCTAGAGTGAGACTCCATCTCTAAAAATAGCCAGGTATGTGTCAGGCAGTAGTAGTCCCAGCTACTTGGGAGGCTAACGCAAGAGAATTACTTGAGCCCAAGAGTTTGCGGTTGCTGTCAGCTATGATGCTATGGCACTCTACCAAGGGCAACAAAGTGAGACTGTCTCAAAAAAAAAAAAAAGGATGGGGTCATGGTCACAGATGGGCTCTGTGTTCTGATTTCTCTACTCACCATGGCCCAGACTTTCTTTTTTTTTTTTTTTGAGACAGAGCCTCAAAGCTGTTGCCCTGGGTAGAGTGCCATGGCATCACAGCAACCTCCAATTCCTGGGCTCAAGTGAGTCTCCTGCCTCAGCCTCCCAAGCAGCTGGAACCACAGGCACCCGCCACAACGCCTGGCTATTTTTTTGGTTGCAGCCATTATTGTTGTTTTGGCGGGCCCAGGCTGGGATTCGAACCCGCCACCTTAGGTGTATGTGGCTGGCGCCTTAGCCACTTGTGCCACAGGTGCCGAGCCAGGCCCAGACTTTCTGAAGCCTCACCAGAGCCCTGGCCACTACCATTTTTGTACTGTGACCCTATGCTCATGACCTCCACCCATCTGTGGGAGCCTGTTCTCAGGAATATGTTCTCACAATGGCCAGTTGCCTCACCGGGGAGGCCTACGGGCCTGCCATAGGTAGTCTCCAAGAAAGGAGAAGACCCATAGCTCGGTGACTGTAGTACAATGGTTACAGCGCCAGCCACATACACCGACGGTGGTGGGTTCAAACCCAGCCCAGGTCTTCTAAATAATGACAACTGAAACAAAAAAGAGCCAGGTGTTGTGATGGGCACCTGTAGTCCCAGCTACTTGGGAGTCTGAGGCAAGAGAATCACTTAAGCCCAAGAGTTTGAGGTTGTTGTGAGCTGTGACGCTATGGCACACTACCCAGAGCTACATAGTGAGATAACATCTCAAAAAAAAAAAAAAAAAAAAAAACAGAAAGAAAAGGAGAGGACCCAGCCTCCTGGGCCATTTCTTGTTCCCTCTATTCACCTGCAGTCTTGGGGGGTGCTGACCCAGTTCATCTACATGTCAGATGTCCTCTCCCAACTATTTCCTACTTCATAGAGGTCAAGTTTTCCTGGGCCTTTTACTTGGGCTGTGGCACCTCTCCTTATACCTGCTCACAGGTGAGGTGATGTTGGTGTGAGTGGAGAAGCCAGTGCTGGAAGACTAGAGGATCTCGCTTTAGTCTTTGTGTCCTCTTTGTATCCATCTTTGTGTCTTCTCTCCACACTCAGGCACCCTGATCCTGGCGACATGGCCCACCACACTGGAGGCCCTACCCAAAGCAGAGCTGCCTCTGAACTCATTTATCATATGAGGAGGTGACATGTTTTCCTATCCACAAACCTTCAGGAATTGTGATTCTCCGTCATGTGCCTGCCCTGGGCAAATGCTCTAGCCAAGGAGTCTGAGCTCCCCACCTGTCCCTTCCTCCCTCATGAGCTGGAGTTTAAGCTCCCAGATCCTTGCTTCTCAAACTTCAGGAGTTCTCACCTCTAGCCCCCTTTTTAGTGACAACCCTAGAGTTGGGGCTTTCTCCCAGAATGAAAGGCTGCAGAACCACAGGAAAGCATGACACATCTCCCCAACTGTCCTCTTCAGCCACATCTGCCCTCCCATTTAACTCACACCTACCCTGATTGGCCACCTCTCCCTTCTGGGCCCCCATGCCTTGCTCTTACCCCTTTCAGGAAGCCCTCCCTGGTGCTGAGGGCTTTAAGGGTGGGAGGCTTAGAACATGAGATAGAGTCAAGTTCTCAACCACCACCGAAACCACTGATGATCTGACTTGCTTAGTGCCCTCCCCCACCACACACTAGGAGGGGACTAGGCCCAGGGATGGGAGGGAGGACGTGGTCTGTGCAATACAGGAAGGGAGGGTGTGTGAGAAGAGGCAGCTACCGGGAACTGCGTGAAACCTAACCAGTCTCGTCTGAAGTGGCATAGACTCCTCACTGCCCCTGCTGCTTCTTGGCTTCTTTCTTGAGCTCAGAGGCCTTGAGTCTGGGTGCATAGCCTCCTCCTTTCTTAGACACTCAGGAGTCTGCATCAGCAGCCTCTTTAGCCCCTGAACCCAGAAGCCCAGCACTCACCCCCATGGAGCCCTGCCGATCCCTGGCCCTGCTCACTGGCTCCCTGGGCCTGATGTCCTCCCTGATTGCCCTGAGCACTGATTTCTGGTTTGTGGCTATGGGGCCCTCCAGCTCAGCTCACTCGGGTCTCTGGCCAACAGAACATGGGGTCCCTGTAGCAGGTGAGGAGTGGGCTATCCTGCGGGGGGATGGTCGTTGGGGATGGGCACTCAGAGGTCTCCTCTCCCACCAGTCTACATCCATGTGACGCAGGGGTTCTGCATTTTGGCCACCCTGTGGGGCCTGGTATCCTTGGGCTTCCTGGTCCTGTCCTGCATTCCCTCACTGTCTGTGCCGGGCCGTGGTCCCCTTGTCGCAACCATCACAGCCTTTGCTGCAGGTAAGGACTCCTGGCTGGTCTTGGGCATTGGGGGCCAATGAGCTCCTGCAGAGGGGCTAGGCCATCTCTCTTGTCCTCATCACAGGCCTCTCCATGATGCTGGCCATGGCGGTGTACACCATTGAACGGTGGGAACAGCCTTCACATCCCCAGATCCAAACCTTCTTCTCCTGGTCCTTCTACCTGGGCTGGGTCTCGGCAATCTTCCTGCTCTGTACAGGTGACTACCCTGGCTGTTGCCCTGGGTAGCTTGGGAGGGTCCGGCTGGGGCTCAGAGGGAACAGGGAGGGGCAACTGCTAAAAGTCTCTTTGGCCACCCCAGGTGCCCTGAGTCTGGGTGCTCACTGTGGCATTCGCCCACCTGGCTATGAAAACTTGTGAGGGGAAGGCAAGAAGAGCAGATGTCTTGATCTTCCGAAGGTCTTTCAGGAGCCATGGGAATGCTTCATCCTGCCTCTGTCCCTCACTCCCAACCCCTCCCCATCCCCTTCATCTGTTTTGTTATTCATTCAACTCAAAAATTGTCTGAGATCTGGTTGTTCTGAGATTAATTCAGCCGAGACAAAAGCCTACTGCATACCAGCACCGGGGCAGGCAACTTGGGATGGTAAGAACCCACCACCTAGGCCAGCCCACATGGTGGTCCTGCCTGGGGAAGGGGACAATGACAGACCAATAGCAGTTAACATTGGCTGGACAGCAGTCCCAACCTGGGGAGGGCACTGAGAAAGAGTGACCATATTGCGGAGGCCTGGAGATGATCTTTCTGGGGAAAAGACATTTAGGTTTTTCTGGGGGGCCAAGGGAAGGTAATGTCCGGGCAGAGTGTCCCAAAAATGGAACCATGGAAAGGCCAGGAGTTATGAGGGGATGGAGAACTGTGCAATCTGGCCAGAATGTGGAATACGGGGGTGATGGAAAATCAATATGGAGAGGCAGATGGGGGCTGGGGCTTCTAATGCCACAATGAACTTTTTCCTGAGGGTGATGGGAGGGGCATTAGGAGAAAATTGTGTGTAGGAGAGGGACAGTGCCAGCAGCGGGTGCCAGAAAGACATCTCTGGGGACATGTGGGGGAAGCTGGAAGCTTAGGGAGGAGGTTGGCAAAGCCACAGGTGGAAGAGGACAATATCTGATCTGGGACGAGAGCCCGAGGTAGAAAAGAGAGACAATGAGGAAAAGGATTTGGGGACTCAAATGCTTTGTGGGTGGAGGCAAGAAGGGAGCAAGGACAAAGCCCAGGGGTCTGGCCTGATGGACTGGGTAGGAAGGTGAGGCCATCCCCAGTTTGGTGGAAGACACTAAGCTGGGTTGGAATGTGGCTGGGTATCAGGGCTCTGCCAGAAGCAGGTGAGGACTCTGGGGCTCTGGGGAGGGACTGGAGGCTAGACATGGAGTTCTGTCCACTCTCCAAGCCTTAAGAATCACTAACGTCTAGCAGGGGTCCTCAAACCTTTTGAACAGAGGGCCAGTTCACTGTCCCTCAGACCATTGGAGGGCCAGACTGGGGGCCCAGAAACGAGTCAGCTGCTAAGCAGGAAAGGCAGCAGAGGCAAAAACACCCGGTGGGCTGGATAAATGTCCTAGGTGGGCTGCATGTGGCACGTGGGCCGCATGTGGCACGTGGGCCATAGTTTGAGAATGCCTGGCCTAGAGAGAGGTGACTTACCTGACAAGAGAGTATAGGATAGGGGCTCAGCACCTATAGCTCAACAGCTAAGGACGCCAGCCACATACACCAGAGATAGTAGGCTTGAATCCAGTCTGGGCCTACTAAACAACAATGACAACTACAACCAAAAAATAGCCAGGTGTTGTGGTGGGCACCTATAGTCCCAGATACTTGGGAGTCTGAGGCAAGAGAATCACTTAAGCCCAAGAGTTGGAGGTTGCTGTGAGCTGTGATGCCAGAGCACTCTACTGAGGGCATTGGCTTGAGACCCTCTCTCAAATAAATAAATAAATAAATAGAGTGTAGGATGGATTGCAGAGGAAATGGGCATTTAAGAGTGAAGGGAAGAGAAGTGCAGGCACCTCCCCCCAGTTGGTTTGGGGGTACCTTCAAAGTCAAGGGAAGAGAAGTTTTAGAAGAAGGTCTTGGTCTACCATGTCAGGACCCTCAAGCTCCCCCCAGGCCTGCCATCTAACTCATGGCTGTCTGTTGTTTAAGACAGCTGTTGGGTGTGTATGGGGGTGTAGATGTAGTGGGGGGGGGTTATCCCTTTAAAGGCCCCTGGGGGAGGGGTTCTGGAACTCCTGTGCCTCACAGAGACCCAGTTTCCCTTCCCCCACCTCTGGGCTCTGTGTCTAAGAAGCTCTGGGGAGCTGGGTGTGAGTCACTTGGGTTTGTGTGTGTGTGAGGGAGGACTGGACAGGCTAACGGGACATTCCACTGGTGGAGGAGGTCTCTGGGAAAATGAGTTCCTAACCAGTGAAGCCTCAAAGGGGAGGTCTCAAGGACCCAGTAGGAGGACAAGACCATGGCGAATGGGGGTTGGGGGAGGTGATTGTGGGTCCCTAGGCAAGGTTGTTAAGGGAGGATCTGAGGGTGAGGTCTTCAGTCCCCAGGTAGCATACCAGGCAGGAGTGCTGAGGGAGACCAGTAAGGAGGGAGGTCTTCTGAGATGGGGGCATGGGCCAGAGGGGAGAGGGGAGTTGGCCAATCCTGCCTGTATGGCCTTTAGCAGGAGGCTTCAGGCATGGGGGTGAGGCGGAGCCTTCAGAGTGGGGGCGTTGTGCTCAGCTTCATGGCCAACGTCTTCACGGTACTCTCCACTGCCACCAACTACTGGACCCGCCACCAAGGAGGCCACAGTGGCCTGTGGCAGGAGTGTAACCACGGTGTCTGCTCCAACATTCCCTGCCAGAGTGAGCCCCTGCCTGCCCAGATGCCAGACGCACTTCCGACCCCCACAGCCAGCCAGTCCTCCACCTCTGGCCCTGGGGACACAACAGCTGGGCACAGTGCAAGGCGCCCCACTCCTGCTCCTTTCACCCCATCTCAGATCCAGCTGTTTCATCATGACCGAGGCCACCATGACCCCCCTACTGTGGACCTGTCTTCTACCCCACACCTCACTATCCCCCGTCAAGACATTAACCACCGGTCCTGACGTGACTTCCAAGTTCCCATTCAAACGCCTGATTCTGGGCGGGAGACAGGGGCTCTCCTCTACGCACCGTGGGCGGGGGTGGTGGCCAGGAGAGCTTCTGGTTGAGACCGAAGCTTTCGCGGCAGGGGCGGCGCCCACGCGGGGCTGATGCGGCCCGCTCTCCCCAGCCACGCTGGCGGTGACCGCGGCGTGCATGGTGCTGGCAGTGGGCTTCGGCATCGTGAGCATGATTATGGGGCTGCGGATTCGATGCCACCCGGGCGAGTCGCTGCGGGCACAGACTACAAGCGCCCTCCACTTCCTCTGCGGTGAGAAGCCAACAGGCCTCAGGCCCCCAGGCAGAGGGTGGACAAGTTGTGTGAAATGGGTCCTAGGGACCAGGGGACAGGACTTGAAGCACTGACTCGGAAGCGGAGGGAGGGGCGAGGGTTAGAAGTGAAGGAGTTGGGATGGGACCTGGCTTGAGATGGGCGTGCCCTAGCAGGCCACTGAAGGGGTGGTCTGAAGGGGTGGGGCCTTGTTGGAGGGTGTGACCTGGGAACCGCCCCATTGGGCAAGCTCACCTGCAGCATGGCGGGGCCCAGGGCTGCTGCTGCTTATCGCCTTCGTAGGCTACACCGTGAAGAACGCATGGAAGAACGATGTCTTCTTCTCCTGGTCCTATTTTTCTGGGTGGCTGGCTTTACCCTTCTCAATTCTTGCGGGTAACGTGGAAGCAGGAAGAGGGTGAAAACTGCCCAGAAGACCCCCTCCTCCAGAAACTCCCTAGCTGTCCCAAGGAAACCCTACAATGGCCACCCAGGGACTCCCCAACACATTCCACTCCCGAATCCCTCAGACCTGGTAGACACGCCCTTGGAGCCCAAAACCCCAGCCCCCGGAGACTGTCGGACCATCTGCCCTATGACTCACTTTCCTCTACCTGCCTGCCGCTAGGCTTTTGCTTTCTGCTGGCAGACATGATCGCGCAGAGCACCGAAGCCATCAGTGGATTCCCCGTGTGCCTGTGATCGCAGCATGCCTGGGGTAGAATAAAGAAATGATTTTTAGCGCCGTGGCTCCGCGTGCCTTCCTGGGGGACGTGGGGACACAAGCACGAAATCGCAGACATGGGGGTGCATAAGAGGTTGAGGGAGGACGTAAGGACCCGAATCTATAGGGAACGTAGAGGCGAGGCGGGGGTGATCATGTGCGTGGAGTGGGCACGTGACATGGATTTGGAGGGAAACGGGGGCCAGCGGGTGTGGGGCCATGAGGGGATGTGGGCTGATAGAGTGTGGGGCAACAAGAAGGGAAAGGGTAAACATGGACAGAGGACAGCACGAATATGCAGATGATGGAGATGGTGAACGCAGGTATGAAGGGAATGGGGAGACAGACACGCGAGGACTCAGAGGCGTGGGAATGCGGGCACGGCGACTGGGAGAGGTGGTAGAAGAGGGGATCCCGAATGGAGACAGCAGATACGGAGTTATTGAAAGGAGTTTAGGAGGATCCGGAGAATCTCCACCCTGGGAGTACTCTCTTCCCGGGCACGACCTTTCATCTA